CAAACACCGACTTCGGCGGTCGCATTAAATTAGCATAGATTTCAGATACCAGACGGAATCGTCTTTGTTTTAGTTTTAAAATCTTAAATTCTTTTTACTTAACATACCTTGATATTGAACCACATAACTATATTTAATTTTTGTTATAATAACTAGGTCCGCGATCAGGAAAACAGACCAGAGAAAGACCCAAAGCCAATTCAGATTAATTAAAATAACAGACAAATTTGAGAACAGCTACAGACTGGGACAAATAAGTCTATACCTAGCAGAAGTCTTGGCTTATTCTGTATCTAAATGTATACGATGTCAACAACAAATAAAGGCCAAATAACTATTGAAATGAGCATCTGTTGATTTTGAAGTTTTTTTTCTAGAATAATTTGCCAAATCTTGTCATGTTTTGTTAATTTTCAAAGGAATCTACGATTTTAAAAACCGCACCGTAGAAAACTGATGGCATAAAATTTGTAAGTTCATATTGTAGTAATTATGTTTATTTAGCGAGTACCCGGGCTTAGAAACAAGAGTTGATTACAAATCTTACGCACATGAAATTCAGTAAACAACAAAACTTTATTCAAAAATAGTTTAATATCACTCTGTATAAGTTGACAAACTTTATTTTTTAATTGTATTTAAGTCTGAGTACTGCAGATTACAGATAAACTACACTAGAACAAAGCTTAAAAAAATAACCCAAAAATTCTTAATCTATGCAAATAAACCGTGATTTACAAGTGTATGTTCTATTGAATTAATCTAGAAAAGTCTACCACAATATGGATGTATAATAGTACAATCTAAAATCTCATATTAAAAATAATAGTGTCACCAATAAAAATGTCATCGTAAGTGATAAACACAATATTAATTAGTACATCAAATCAGCTAAATATGTATGTTGGCCTGCTTCCCCACAAGGCATTGTAAAACTACACCCAGTGTGGACTCAGCGTTTTGATCGCACGACACCGATAAATTGATATATCTGTTAGTTTTAAATCTAACTATGTATGTTATAAAACAGACTGGAAATTGTAAAAAAAGATCGATATATGATGCCAAATAAAACTTAAACTTATTTTGTTTTAACAAACAAACATATCTGGTTAGTGTTTTTGATAGTTCTATATACAACTGAAATATCTGACATATAATTTCATTTGAGTAACTAATTAGCTTTGTCAAAGATTATTTAACCTTAAGCTACATACGCATAGTTGTAACTGAAGCGTCGAAATGTTTATTAAAACTACCTATATAGGCACAGTTTTAACTGTCAATTCGATTCTTCAGTTAAAGCTGTCAATTTCATTTTGTTTTGAATTTGCTGACATGACATGTTCTAGTAGCATTATAAACCGGTGAAATTCACTATCGTTCGGTAACATACGGTGTGCAAAACAAGACCGGTGCGTTCATACAATGCACATGCCGCTGGGCACATGCTGTACTGCACCTTGTGCATAAAAACTGTTTTTGTGCAGCCAGTAGTGTGATACATCTATTTTGTATATATTGAATTTGTAACATGCTTGTTATTGTTATCCCTGAATCAAATATTGGGCAATTAACCACTTGACGTTACTGTAAAATTTATTTTTTGTTAACTATGCCATCCTCAGAAAAAAAAATCAGCTTATAACAATGAGTGTTTTTGGAAATCTACAAAACATAGTTATCTAAAAACTGTCACCAGTTTACAATTATTTATTTAAATAAGTCAAAGGATTAATTGTCGTTTTAGCAAAGTTAATGTATTTTTACCCTACAAGATAAGAAAGATGGGTCTACAATATTTAAGCTACAGAGTTTTAGGCACTTTGTAATCTTACTAACGCCCGCGACTCCGACCATCTATATAGCTAAACATTCGCATATACAATATTAGTAAACTAAGATAATAATATTAGTAAGATGTTTAAGAAGTAAGTTTTGTTACAGATTATTTCTAGTTTTTCGATTTTGCTTTTATTTATTTACTAGATAAGACACAATCTTACTTTATGAGTCATCAATTTCTACCAGCACCAGTCTACATAAGTTGTACCTAAGAAGCAGTACCAATATTGCTTATCTAGGCATCATACAAGACACGTGTAGAGTCATATTTCGTAAATAACATCAAAATACTCGTAAGAATCTTTCGACAGGTGTATTGTCGTGTCTTTATGACAACTTGCTGGCCGTGCTAGAAGTATAACGTCTATATAAAAAAAAAAACTTTTCAAATCTAGTATGATATATATTAATACTGGCTGTTCGAATTAAAAAAAAACATTATCTACGCTCATATGTTCTTTTAAAATATGTTAAATATTTAAAACTAATTTAATGTGTCAATTCAACTATTTAGGAGATACCTTCTAACATCCATTTCTCCATACAAACTTTCGCATTTATATTAGAAAGATATCGCGTGTCGTCGCGCAAAAGTAATGTAGCGCCATCTTTTAGTTACAATAACAAACTACATTAAAACATCGCAAAATATTTATGAAATATCTGTGATACTTTTAGACTTGCACATTATAAATGTGTGTGATTATTAATTTTGTTACAATAAACTGAAGAGAATAGACTTTAAGGGTTTTTATTAATTTATTATCTCTGGTATCAAACGCTTATAAATAAATAAAATTAAAATAAGTAGGTAAGTAATAAGTAATAAAAATAAAAAAGCCTTTTATTTCCAGCAACTTAGTAATTGTAATTAATGATACATTACAATGTTTCTTTTAATTGAATACTTAGATATTTCAAATTTTTAAACTAACAGGGTGTATTTTTTTTACGCTTATAAACATGCATAATGAAATAAAACATAATGCCATTCTTACTTAGTAAAAAAATACACAAAATAAGAATGAAATTGACCTTAAATCGCCTCTTTTGTGATCGCTATTATAAATAATTGTTATTATAAACAATAAATTGTACAAAGTTAAGTATTCTTGCAATATCTTATCCATCGATAAGCGATTAGCCGATATATTTTCTTTGATTGAACCGCATAATGCGGCAAGAACTAAACAGCGAGCACTAACATTTATTAACAGAGCGATTTAGTGTTTAATTTTTTTTAATATCTTCAAATTTCCAGAACTATACGCGAAGGCCTTTAGGACCTAAAAGCAGACATGCTTATGTTGTCGGCAGCACGTCGATTGTTTGAGATTACCAGTGTATAGTAGCCCTAATTGCCCCTTAGGTTTGTATAAGTGTGTATAATAATTACAAATACATGAGTTTTTAATATTTTTTTGGTTTATACGTTGATTTTTACTTATACTCGGTTTAGTTTAGCTAAACATATTACAGTTTTAGATACCTTAAGTAATGTAGTAAAGCATTCGAACACTTAGCAGATTGTTTTTTACTCGCATTTGTGGATTTTTATAGTATTATCAGTGCTTATCAGTGAAGCTCGGCACTGCTTCGTTTGACTCATTGTTATTGTTAGCATGTCTACGGTGATAGCTCAGTGGCTACGATTCTAAGTAACAATTTGACCTTATTGTTTGTCACCCAGTTTAAATGAATACCAAACATAGAATCTATTAGATTCCTATAATACAAAAATTGACGATTTTTATGAATTTATGAAATAGGGGTTAAAATTGATTACTAAAAAATAGAAAATAGTACCGACTCGGCTTATAAATCTTTATTTATTCATCACAATTTTCGTATTTTTTTTCCTCAAAAGTTGCACGTTTGCAATTGCTCTGATATCACAAACATGATGCCCCTTTCTGGCATATCGATAATCTGAAGGTTAAATTCTTATTTTAATAAACGTGCAAAAACTTTTTTTCTTGACCAGTCGCGCATTTGCTCCTAACGAATGCGCTTCGTCATGCCGATAACGAACATACCTACTGCATACTGTATTCGAAAACTTCACTTCAATTGGAAATCGCTATTAATTTCCAGAGACAAAATTCAGTACTCTTTGTTCGTCAGAACGTTGTTTCGTTCAAAATTACCGCCGAACGAATTTTCCCGACTTTCACCGTATCGAAGCAACAATATCGATCGCCGCACAACCCATTGCTGCAGCGCTTTGCCGCCACTCAGATCCAATGTGAGCCCCACCAGGAATGTATTGCGACAGCTTTTGTTATGATTTGATTTACAAGACACGGTAAGGGCGTAGTCGGTACAGCCAAGTGGCGCACTCTCGTGAGAGATGTAAGAACAGATAAATGTGTTTGAATTTGAAATTTGTATGGTATCGATAAATTACGCGTCCATTGCCGGTTTTGTACTTAACGTTCTGTTGGACGTTTAACAAAAGAAGCAATGGTGCTTATAAGTGGTTAACTAATCGTATGTTTGAAATTTGGCTATTGTGTATGAGGCCGGGTCAGAGCTAGCGCGGCCTCGCGGCCCTCTTTGCGCCGCAACGCAAATCGTTGAAATCAAAACTTTCACGCTACGGAGCGCTACGAAGTTTTACAGCTACGAACTTCCTGCTACGAGCCGGCCGGTGCGATCCGCTCTCCAAACTTTGTTTTGAGAGCTTTTTATTTTGTCACTTTCCGTTATCAGTCGTAAGAAGCTCCATTCATGCGTACACGACTCACTTATCTAGTAACATTCGTTGCTAAATACTGAAGTTGAAACATTTCTCAATACGACTATTTTGTGAAAGCGCCTCGATTTTCTTTTTAAATCATGAATCAGGAACAACAGTTTTTGAGAAGTGGAACAATATTGTCGCAGTAGAAATTGCAGACCTTGGCTGTGTCGTGCTGAAATGTGGTGTTAGTCGGGTATTTCCAACGAGCGCAGACGAGGCGGGTTTATGACGCTCAATGGTAGGTAGGGTACTATAGAAATTATTCCTAAACTTATATATGTAGATAGAAAGTTTTGTTTAGATATTATTTACTTAAAATAAAATAACTTATTTAAAAAAAAAAAACAAATTGTTTGTAAACTGATCGCTCCTTACTTTAAAACAAAGTTTATAATATCAGAGATTGTTTACAGCTAAGTTGGGTTATCAAAACGTCCTTATGCAGGCGGCGGTAGAAGAATCGGTTCTCGACTCGTTCGTGGAAACGAGTCGCAGGTGGGCGCTGCGGTGCGGTGCGAGCGCTGCCGCGGCACCGGACTAGTCTCGACGCGTTCCGCTCCGCCATTCGCCATTCGCCAGTCACCAGTCTGCGCTCGGCCGCCGCTCGGAACGCTTGTGCCAGTGACGCCGTGCTGTGTGACACATTTGACAGTTGTTGATCGTGTGCTCGTGTTATGTTTTCTTATCGGAACTATGGTGTATCCCCATGAAAATGTGGAGTGATTTTCAGGTAAGATATACACATTTATATGAATAAACAGCTAAAACAATCTACAGGTACCAATTTATATATTTCGACTTTTAATTCATTTTTATTCGCTATATCAAAAGTTGTGACTAAACGTTTTCAAGACTTAAAAGTAATTTTGAATACTGCCGTACCGTTGTAGATCGTTTTGAGCATATCTTTAGATAGTTTAATTAAGTTTACTTTAAGTTAGTATGTACATTTTTACTATCTCGGACTTGTGAAATGTTGGGATTCTTTGTTCAAGTTATAAAACAACTCTTTCTTCTAAGGTCATACTAATGGTTTTAATTATTTTGGAACTTTTTGTAACATTAACATATTGGCGGTTTTTAGTTAGGTTTGTCATAACTGTTACTTATAATAAATCTATCCGGAGTATCTCTAAATCTAAAAGTAAGGGTAAAGTAGGTATTTAATGTACGCGTTTTTACAAAACTTTTTGTATTTCTTTTTTGTTTCTTTTACGGGTCGTTTTTTGAATATCCATATAATTTTATAGTCATAAATGCATTTTCATTTCACAAACATTTTTCGCTAAACAATAAACTTTTCTTGTAAATACCGACTTTGTGTGAACGAACTGTAAAGGATATTTTCTTTTCCGTAATGAAACGTTATGATAAAATTGATTTTGGGGCCATTCAACTGTATTTTTTTGTGTTTTTTGTTGGAAAATTTGGAGATTGTTATTTTGTGGAGGAGTGCCCGCCTTTTTTTGAATCTGACATGTCTACGTTTCCGCCGCGACCTGTCAAACGTCATGTGATAGATAGAAGGGCGCGTTCAGAGTTTTAAATCAAAGCAAAGCGCTGTAGTCGCCTCGATAACTGCGTCGCTCGAGCTCGAGGCGAACGAGAACCAACAGAAATAAGCGCACTCCGTCCCTCTCTAGCGCGTAGCGGCGTCCCGCTCTTGCGACTGGTGTTTTTGTGTCGGAGCGGGTTTTTTGTGGCCGCCGAGGCTGCCGGCGCCGCTCGCTCGGCTCGGCCGCACATTAATTATCGCCGACTTGGCTCCGGCGCGAACGCACTTTACTTTCTATGTTGCCACTTTATTGTCTTGCTTAAAATTCGGCAACGACTTACGTACGCGGTACCCGGCAACTTACATTTTTTTCTTACAGTTTGTTAGGCAAAAGTTTTCCTCATATTATGTACTCATGTTTAAAACATTCCATACTTGACTGTCGAAGGATAGTTAAAATTAGTTGTTACCCAGTAGAACGTTGCCATGACAACGACTAAGCATATTTTATCCTTAGTCTGGAATTTAGAAATGATTCCTTGTCGGTTAAACTTTATTAATTGCCTTGAAACAAAGGATGTCCTGAGAATTTTTGCGTATAGCCAATGAACGTATCATATCATATCTTTGTATACGTGATAAGAAATCGTTTACCAACTTTTTAAATTTATTTCTACTAATTTTTGAAAATGATTAAATGACTACTAAATAATCTCGATTTTACTACTGGTAAATGTTATGTAGTACGATGACTAAAAAATAACTATTCACGTTTTTTATACATCTAACATAAACTTGAAAAGTTCCAACGTAAAATTTTTTAGTTAAAAGTTGATAAAGACCGCAATCAAGAACAAGGGCGATTATCTGCATTGTAATGTTTTTCAAAATCCGTTTTAAACTTAGAATTCAATAATAATCAGATAATTTTAAAGAAACACTCCTCAGTGTAACGTATTAAGTAAATTGAAATTTCTTTGTTATCTCTAACACTTGTAATACTTCTGTTCATGCCCGTTTAATAAAAGTCGTGAATGATCCTTCAGTTTTCCAGTCAGAAAGCACGTGGCGGTTAAACTTGTACGAGAGGCATTTCAAAGTTACGGCCGATCATGTGTTCTATGCAAATATTTGACATGATAAACAAGGAGCCTAAATCGGGCCACGTGCTACCGCTGGGCCTGTGCGTGTGGGGTGGGGGCTAGGGGTGGTTGTAGGGTGGGGGCGCAATGCGACTTGTTGCAGTCACGTGCATCCGTCATCCGGGACGCTAGCAGGAATTGAGCTCGGAACTTTTGGAAGCGTAGAAGTTTTATGATCTATACTTATGTTATAAAGAGGAAAGATTTGTATTTTTGTATATAAATAACTCAAAAACTACTGGGCCGATTTTAAAAATTCTTTCACTGTTAGAAAGGTAATTTATCTGTGAATAACGTAGACTATATTTTGTTTTAATTTCTAATGTTACGCGGACGATCGCGAACAACACCTAGTGAGTTATATTTTAAATGTTCTATCGATTTTTAGTACTGACAAAATATAATGCTAAATTTTTTTTAATGGTAAAACTAAACTAGACAGATCTATATAAATGAATTTGACGTACATATGAAATAGATGATGTGAATGAAGTACTAGATACGAGATTAGAGATAAAAAAGTATTTCCAGCACTGAGCGTAGGCAAGGCCGCGAGTCGTGCAGCGTGCGGCGTGCGCGGAACATCTCGACACGTATTTAATTACACCTAAAGCCGTTAACAATCGAGCACGTGCGTTAAACTTTTGTAAACAATAACAACAACAGAATGCATTCACCGCGACTCGCGACACGACCGAGACGTCATAATCATTTATGCTAAACGCACGTCATTATGTAAAGCAACAGCCGACCTTGTTTTGAGTTTTGACATATGTTTACCGCCAATTACGCATTGTGTCGGTAAACTTGAATGGTATGGATAACTTAAGGGTCATTGTACACGGACTACTTTCGGCTATAGTAGCAGAAAGCCTGTTTAAATCTATGTACGGCTACCCTAACTAAAGCCCTAAGTAAACCTTGCAGCGTCGCGTATTCTAACTTCTGTAAATATTGAAGTTTCTGACACAGCAGCAGCACCATTAGCAATAACAATACAAACCGCCACGTGTCAAAGTTGAACTATCAAGTATTGTGTCGGTGAACTTGAAAGACAATTACAATAATGTAGGGCAACGACTCGAAAGATGAATGGACGCAAAACACCTGTTTAGAATGTAAAAAAAATGTGACGACGTCGCTCGAAACGTCAGGTGTATACCGAATTCAATGCCGCAGATTATATTTTTATTACCCTCCTATTGAGTTACACTGTTTGTTTACGTTTTTTTATACGTCGGAGATTCGGCTTTGCTCGGCTTACGATACGGTCATTTAGCAGAAATTGCTGTAATTTATTATACTTACTTACTCGATTACGCATCGATTTCATTTTGTTTAAATTTAATTTTAACTATTAAAAATAAACTTCATTCGTTTAGTTCATTTCATATTTTACTTTGTTGTAATATTTTCATATCTTTAGCGCACGATACCAATTGTTTGATAACTAAGTGAAAAATAAATAGTAAAAATTCAAACCCCAAAAACTTGAAATGCTATAATCTAGGTTATGTATAAAATTGGTAAAGTTCATGCTGTACATTCTCATGTCCCCGCCGGCCCGCGACCCAATTACGAGTCTCAATAAAACAATATATATGTCGTTGAACTCAAAGTTCGATAAGTAAACATTGCAAGGCGCGCGGAGACATACCGACGTCGATAATTTATGTAAATTCACGGCATTGTATAAGACTGATGTTTTTATGAGCGCTCTCCACTTTTGACGGTCAAGTTCGTCGGCTCGTTCCAAACTTTAACTATTGTTTTTTTTAATATTGCTCCCCCGTTTTCGTGAAGCTTTATTAAAAGACTCTATTTTTATATTATTTTCAATGTTAAAGGTCCGTTACTTGTAGATGATGTCTTTACTGAAATAGTACTTTTATGTTAAGTAAGTTTATTTGAATATAGGAATAGGTTTTTATGAATGTAAAGAATCTTAGTGAGGCCTCGGCTTGTGTAACTAGTTAATGTATTATCTCTTTCTATTGCATATTATTCATTTCTTTGCATTAATTCTTCAGAACATATTTGCCATTAAAGGAAGTATTGCAGTATAAATGTCTCGCAGTTCGCAGCAAGATACGCGTCAACGCAATGCGTTAATGATATTTGAAAAATGTAGCAATCTAGTATTTACACACACGCACACAGATACATAAAACGTAAACATTTATGCCGTTTGTTTGTAAATCGTATTTTACTACAGACGTCGATCGTGTAAATCTCGTTTAGGTATAATTATAGCGATAATGGCTTTATTAATAACACGCTACGAATCTATTTCGTAGGTGGAGTGACTATTAATCATTTTATGAATGAACGAGTGTTATTATTATTTATGCGGGGCGACCGGTCAACGATATCGGCACGGAGTAAACGTCATTTTATAATCATAAGCTCATAAATAAACGCGGTGACGTAGAGATCGGAAGGACGGCGGCGGCGGTCGGCGCCGGCCACGTGGCTCCCACGGTGCGTTAACTCGCGCATTATGTAACAATGTTTTGACATTAAACAAAACAACGTGCGACACATTTAGCGCGCGGATCGATGAACTTGAGCCGTTTGCTTGCGTTTACGTTCCGCGTTACGCAACTCTCGGCCAAGCGAGATTAATGCATGCTGGATTATAGCACGCGATATCATTTCAATTTACGTTCCGTTTCATTCACGGGCTGGAGATGATGACGCTGTTGCGTTCCGGTCGTTTGTTTGCCGTCGCTGTCGCTGTCGCTGTCACTTACAGCATCGCTCGTCTTAGTCGTCGTCGCTCGGCCTACATATGATACTCGATCGATTTGCAAATCAATACCGAAGCAGGTCTTCTTACCGCGAGCTATAATTTGTGCATTTTAACACAGCCGAGTTGATGGTAGCCTTGAACGTGCATTAAGGCTGTCTTGATTCAGCTATAATGGGAAATCCATTGCATTTCAGAATTATTGTATTTTGTATGTTGGTGAGGTGCGGTGCGATGCAGCGGGGCGCGGGTAAACGTGTGTCTTACTATTAACTACAAGTTTGAGTTCAAGACGGCGGGGTGAAGGGTGTACGTCTTCACCCATTGACGGTTGAAGCGCTCCG